TCAATTAAGTGAATGTTCAAAGTGGGTTACATTGTTTTGTAAACAATAATACAGCCTATTTTCAAATTCTGCACGAATTTTGGCAAATGTTCTAGTAATGGCGCGACATGCTTGCGTAATTCTTTTTCGCAATTCCCCAAGTGTCGCAGGTTGAGTTTTATAAACAACTGACTTGAGGTGACCCCACAGAAAAAAGTCAGGTGGCGCCAAGTCTGGTGACCTCGATGTCCGCTCAATGGGACATCTCCTTCCAATCCATTTGTTCGGATAATTAGTATCCAACCAGTGCCTAACTGGAACTGCATAGTGAGAAGGTGCTCCATCTTGTTGGAAGTGCAGCAAAACTTCGTCTACAGCTAGGTTGTTTTGGTCGTCCCTTTGGTTATCTAATTCATGCACAATTAAAGGTTCGATGGTGTTTTCCAGCATATCGAGATATATGTCGCCACTTAAATTGCCTTGTATGAACAAGGGACCAATTATAGCAGGGGTGGCCAACTTGATTAGACATAAGATCTACTGTTTACTGACGAAACCCTGTGCGATCTACCACTTACATACTTATTGAAATCCTAAATGAAACAGCATAGTGTTTAGTACACAATCATAAAATATTTTTTATTGAACAGTCTTAGGAGTTCCTTTTCGTATCACATATGATATTGTTTCCTTCAATTTACTTAATACTTTGGATTGGAAGTCTGAGTTGATGATGTTTAATCAACATTTATAGGTCCTATCTATATATTAGTGTGAGCATGGCGTCACAGTATCGTCCACTAGTTTAGCATAATCTGGTTTGTATTTGGAAATTGTCAACCTTAAAGAATCCAATGTATGAGCGTCTGCCAAGCGAGAACGGTGTTTATTTTTTGTTTGTTTTAAGTAGGAAAATGCTGACTCACATAAATATGTTGAACTAAAACACGAATGAAGTTGTTCAACACATTTCTTCAAATTTTGATATTTTTTGTTGGAAACCAATGCCCAGAAATCTTGACCTGACCTTGCTTTTAGAAATATGTCGCAGCGCAGAGTAATAATTTCGTTTTGTAACATCATGTGGTCCATTTGAATTATATCTGCGAATTTTGTAGTCAATTCATAGATATCACTATGATCAATGGATTCATTAAACGGATAACTGATGAATTGAACCAATTTCTCAATTTTTTTGAAATCACTAAAGCGAATTTCGAAGTCTGCTATCACTGCCCTAATTTCTGTTGTGAGTAGGATGTTTTTCCATATGATCCTTGATCCAAATTGTTTAAATTTTGTCTTCTCTATGTCAACTATCATAGACGCTGTTTGACTTTGAAATCTCTGTTTGAAAAATCTGTTTAAAATCTGTTTTTCCGTTAACCAGCTGTCGCACCCCTACGAACGACAACCTTCAGAAGTAGAAACTTGTGCGAGCTAGGGATTAACGAGGTCTTACCTTTTAACGTGTGATTCCTAACACGGGTTGGACGGTAGCAAGTGAAGATCGATCGTTCAGACTAGGGCTTGAACCACCGACCAACACGGCAGTCAATTCGAGTGAGTGAACAAAGCACCCACGCCGAACCGCTTGGCTACCGACTGACCGCTGCAATAGAACTCATCATTTCTGTTAATGTTTTATTCTTGCCTTGTAGATTCAGATTTAATGTACTCAGTTTTCCAGTAAAATCGGCCAAGAAAGCTAAATTACATTGCCAGTCTAAATTACGTTGCGCAGTCTGGTCTATTTATTTATATTTTTTGCCTTGCCACGATCGACTGGATTAATCGTCGCGATCGACCGGTTGGCCACCCCTGAATTATAGCATCGCCTATAATTCCTGCCCAAACATTTAGTTTTTCAGGATATCGAGTGTGACCTTCTCTGAATCGATACGGGTTTGCAGCACTCCAGTACCGACAGTTTTGTTTATTTTCATTACCATTCAGCATAAAAGTACATTCATCACTGAAACAAATTTTGTTTAACATTCTCGGTTCAACACGAATTCTTTCAGTCATGAGTTTACAAAACACAATTCGTCGGTCTGTATCATCATCGCCTAGTTCTTGAAGAATTTGTGTTTTGTACGGGTGAAACTTATGTAATTTCAACACCTTTCTACCGACTCATGTGAAAGTCCTGTCACTGCAGATACTTGACGTGTTGATGCAGTGGGCTCCATTGCGAAATTTCCAAGGACCTCAATTTGGTTTGCTTCATTCAGTAATCTTGGGGTATTCCTTTTTTTATTTTGCACTGATCCCGTTTCTCTAAATTTTTCAACTAAATCGCGGACGTACACGTGACTTACATTTTTGTCCGGATACCTTTCATGACATATTTGAGCTGTTTTTAAATAACACTGGTTCTGGGAGGCAAATATGGAAATTATCTCCACGCGCTCAGGTATACTGTAAACCATCGTGACAACTACAGCTGAATGACAGTACAGATCGTACAAATGATGAAAACTAATGACATTCAAAAGTCTCAAACAAACCAAAAAGTATTGCCTCTGACAGAAACAAAAAAAACCAGATCTTTTCTACTTGTTTTGCAAAAACGGCAAATTAAGTTTAAGAGAGGTAATAAGAAACCACTTTATGAAATTAAAATAAAAGCAAATGGAAAAAATACTTTCTCTCAGCAAAATCCTCAAATGGGTTTCAAAGATATTTCGGATTGTTCAGTTATGAATTCTTCAGTCAAAAACTTTGGGTTAAATGGTTTAAAAAATATTGATAACACCTGTTTCATGAACAGCGTAATTCAATGTTTATCAAATACGAGATGGTTATTGGAATATTTGAAAAAGGATGAATTCATGAAAGATATCAATACTAGTATTTCTAGTATGGAGGGTGCTTTGATGAAATCGTTTGCAGAAGTCATCAAGGAGTTGTGGTCAGAAGATTCATTTGATAAAGTAGTAAATACAGCCTCCTTAAAAAATCGGATTCAAAGTTTTGCTCCTCGATTCATGGGTAATTCTCATCAAGACGCCCAGGAGTTTCTCCGTTATCTTTTAGAAGGATTACATGACGAAAAATTGAGAGACAGCGGAAATGCATAAGAGTCATGGCTTACATATTTGAGGATGCATAACTCCAAGATTGTAGATAATTTCGTTGGCCAATTGAAATCCACGATGAAATGCACACACTGTGGATACTCTTCAGTAACATTTGATCCTTTCTGGGATTTGTCTCTCTCCATACCACAAAGAACCGACCAATTGAGTTTGTGGCAATGCTTGGATTCTTTACAAGAGAAGAAACTTTGGATGGAAATGAAAAACCGACGTGTTCGAAATGCAACGAAAGGAGAAAATGCACAAAGTCCTTATCAATCCACAAGTTTCCCTATATTTTAGTAATACATTTAAAAAGATTCTCTCCAACGGAAAGTAGAGGCAAATTGAATGATGTCATCGAATTTCCTCTAGAAGGATTGGATATGGACAATTTTGCAGCAGAAAATGTGGCTACTTGTTATAATCTATATGCACTTTTAAATCACAGTGTGTCTACTAACAGAGGACATTATACAGCATACTGCAGACACCCGTATACTGGCGCGTGGCACAAATACAACGATTCACACGTGTCATCAATTTCACCAAATTCGCTTGTGAGTGGAGAAGCATACGTCCTCTTTTATATAAAGGATGGAACAAAATCGCACCTTTAAGATAACCGAGGAAAAGTTTCTTTGTGCAATTATTATTTATTTTTTGTTAATTTCAAATAAGTATTTTATTGATTTGATTCAATTATAATTAAGTTTTCATTTAACAAAAAAATTATCGACGAACACTTATAATTTAAAATAATAGTCCGGGAGGTAGCATTACAAAAAAAAAGTCATAGTAAGCCGGCTGATATTAAAGTTCGTGCAGACTTTGACAATAGGCTGTAGTATTGTTTACAAAACAACGGAACCCACTTTGAACATTTACTTAATTGACATTTTTAATAAATTTGTAGTTCAACAAAAACCTCATTAAATAATCCATTCAAGCCAAAGTTTCACAATTATTGCTTCACCCTGTTCAATGATTATTTATACCATTGGATAGCATTTTTCATAGTCTTTTCAATAATGTATCACAAGTAGGGGTTTGTATTTTAAACTTTTTGAGTTTTGGTGGGTGGGGCCTAGGGGGTTGATGGGGGTGAGTTCTCTTTCATGTCACTTCAGTTCCCCCTTACTATCCTAGAAACGGTTTCGAACATTTTTCGATATCAGCTTTTGTTCGTGAGATATAGCCCATTGTAAGTTTCAAAATTGACACACTGTATATTTAACTTTTGTTATAGCTGGCCATTCCCACAGCTTGCATCCGAACTATTTTTTGAAGAGTTGTATGGTTTCATTTTGAAGATACAATGATCCTTTGAAAGTTTCGGCCGATTTTGTCAAGAAAACTCATATCATATTATATTTCCAGAATACTTTATTAGCTTATTACAGGTAATATAGTACAGTTACCAAAGTTTCAATTTAGGGATATAAATATTTTTTCGAAATCAGTATCAATTGGTCTTTCAAAAATGCTTAAACTTTTTTAAAATCTGCTCTCTATTTGTACAAAAAAAACACTGCTAACACTTTGAAATTGTTGTTATTGAATATTGTTCTGATCTAAATTGAACAGATATACACAAACTTCGTGCACAATTGGGCATAACTTTTCAATGCTATATCGACTGGTCAAATGGTAAATAGTAGATTTCAATTCCTATAAAAAAATACATACTATTTGATTTGTTGGGACTCATCGAATTCTTTTTCTAGTCATCAAACCAAGCTCTATACGAATATTGATCAATAACGGCCAAATGTTATTGATATATTCATTTTTTGAACTTATCATAATCGTGTTCTCGAACTATTTTTTCAAATTCTTCTTCCTTCAGAAATTTCCTGTCCTTTATTGAAATGCTAAATAAAAAAAACTGTAAAATTGTCAAAAACAGTGGAAAAAGGTTGAGATTCTTATTTTTTCCAGGACCGTAATTACCAAACTCCAGCAAATCGACGAAGTACGCAACCTGTAGTGTCATTGGATATGCTAAAACAAGTAAAACTTAGGCCAGCCTCAAGAAATTCCATACACTCGGAGACGTCAGACTGCACTCCATCTTCTACGGATTTGCCAACAAGCCCTCATTCGAGTTTATGCAGGTTATTGAAAAATGATTGTCCGACAACAAGGTTGAAACGCTTACGTAGGGTTGGTGGTTTAAGTTGTGATTCTGTTTACAGGCGAAATATGCTGGCAAAGAGAGATCGAGCTGATAGCTGAAAAATGGTGGAAGTGAATTTAACTAATCATAGTACCAGAAAAAATTTGGAATGTTCATACAAAAGGGATTTGGGAAGAATCTGTAATGTCTTTTAATAATATATAGTTATACCCACATGCATTTGATGCTTAATTTGTTACATATAATTAATGATTATGCTAACAGTCTCGAAGAAAATTCATAGGACATTGTTTTATTTATTTTAATATGAGATGTGATACCGTACATAGAGCATGTTTTAATGCAACATTCATAATCGGAATATATTATTTTGACTAAAAGTTTATAACAATAAACAGTATTTATTCAAAATGTATTAAACTTTGAATACATACAGTTTTCAATTAGTTTGTAATTATATTTTCGTTATAAATTTATTGAAATTGAATTGAAATAATTTATTATTATCATATGTGATATTTTATGAAATAAAATTACAGGAAAATATATTTGTATCAGTTTTTTACATCTTATGATCCTATTTATACTTTTCACATGTAGATCCTGTTTTTGATATACAGTAGAATCCGGGTATAACGACCTTCAAGGGACCGGATATACTATGTCGTACTAACCAGACGACGCACAAAACCGATTAATTTTGTACATTAGTTCATTTGTCTTTTATTTAGTTGTTCGGATTGCTGATCGATAGGTGAATAAAACATTTTATAGGAATCACATATGCTTTATTTTAATAGTTATTAAATATCCTAATGTACAAACATATGTATTTTCAATATGTACCTACTGTAATATAAAGAGATAAAATACACACGAAATGCACGAAAAAATTGTGTTACTAACGTAGAAAATCTGTTATTTGAGTTTGTTTTTGACAAACTTTTGTTTGATAGTAAGAAATTCGTACCGCATTATGAATTCGCGACATCATTGTTTTCATAACATCACCATCCAAGTTAGTTTGAAAAAACACATTGAGCGTGTGCGCAGCCTGCAGAGCTTCAGACACACTCAAGGTTGGATAAATCTCCTGTGGTGCGTCATCATCACCGTCATTATCTTTGCTATTCGCGTCGTTGTCAATTATATTTTCCACAATCTTTTCATCAGACGGTTCCTCACAAGTGGCGACAGCATCATCGATACACGCGTATTGTTCAAAGTTATGAGTAACTGATACATATCAATAGCCCTCGCCCAAATGTGCAGCGGCATGTCGTCTTCTTCGTTGAAATCATCTGGGTTTGAAGTTAGGCTACATTCTACATTGTTTCGCATAAAACCAGCGTGTTTGTAACAGTTAAAAATTTTCCCTTGCTTGAGTTGGTTCCAGGCATCTTGAATCATTAGAATAGCATCAAGAACAGTGATCTTTGGATACTCAACACTACTGCTCGCGCAGCCGTCTAGAAACTGGATCATTTTCAGGACAAACTGACAAACTCCCTTGCGAGGGCTGCATTTGATTCACCGGCTTCTAATCGGTGTAATATTGCACTTTTTTCTTCAATTGCAAAATACTTTCGCTTCACAAAATTCATTTGGTCGAACTTTATGAACTTACAACAAGTGACAAAGACTTCATACGTAACCTCTGACGTAAAATCAATCTATTAATATTTGTTAGTAGTACCTATCAATAGAGGTATCTAAGAATACTACTTGTTAGTACTACCTATCAATAGAGGTACCTAAGAAGAGGAAGTGTGCCGAGGTATTGGTGCGCAGATTGTGTAAACAAAACATTGCGCGACGTTTTAACCGGATGTATTATCATGAAAAACGGTCGCTATAATCGGTTGGTCGCTTAAACCGGAGTCGTACTAAACGGTATATTTTCCCAATAACTAAATATGAAACTAAACTTGAGTAGACATTATCGTCGCTATAAACGGATAGTCGTTATAAGCGGAGTCGTTATATATGAATTCTACTGTATTTTATTACATTATTTACATTTTTTTTTGTTATATAGTCAGCTTTGGCTTCGGTACCTTTTTTATGTGATTTTTAGGTTCTAATGAAACTGTTCTCTTTGTTTTTCCCTATGAGACCAAAGATTCTCTGGGAAATGATCAAAATCTCCGTGTAGGCAGTGCAGTTTGACGGAAATGTTACATCCCAACAATTTGAAGCTCTCGTACCATGTTTTGCACAACTGCAGAGTAGTTACTCGTCTGGTGAATTCCGGCCATTCCGGGTAACTTCAACAACCGAAGTTACGCCAGTCAGAGACTTGGACAGTGTTTGTCGCCTCTGTCTGGAAAATTATGAAACAGCAGAGCATATACTTTGTGCCTGCCCCGCTGGGGACCGAATCAGGTTCTTTGAGTTCGGCAGATCTGCACTCTCACCATCTGACCTGAAAGACCACTCACCATACAAACTAATCGGCTTCGTTAAGAAGCTGGGTTTATTTGGCCGAGTGTGAATAGGTGTGAGCCACAATAAATCCTTATGGGTTGCGGTGAAGGGTCGTATAGACCAACTCACTTTAGACCTACCTACCTACCTACGCCAGTCAGTCCATTGAATTTACGAAATCGGTCCTTTTTTTTGTGGGTCATCAAAAATTCCTGCTTTTAACTTTTCTGTATTCAAATCCGGACATTTTCTTAGTTTATCTCTTTTTATTCAATGTTCATGCTTAGCACGACTGTTCCACAAAAATAAGAAACGAGCGTATTTCGTATATCAAAGATATCACCCAAATGTGATTGTGATACCAATAATCGAAATTTTCTGAAGGAACTTGATTTTGAATATTTTTCTTATTTCAATTTTTCTATTTTTTTCATGTTTTATCATCTATCTTAATTATTGTACTTCACTCTATTTTTATTCAACTTTTTCATTGTTTGTATCTCAGAAACGACTGACTGGTGAGCTACATGTTCACTCGTATTTATAATTTCGGTGGTATGGGCGGATGGTGGGGTGATCGTAGGGATGATTGTGTATGTCTGCGATGGTAATGGTGGGGAAGGTGGTGAAGGTGGTGTGAGGTGTCTATGCAAATGCTCACTACTGATTGGTCCGCACTTTTGCTGGGTGCTGTTGAGTTTTATTTTAAATAAGAATCACTTTGCATTTGTTTTTTGACATGTGAAAAAATAGTTGAATGACAGTTTTGGCAAACAAGAAGAATAAAAAACGCTTTTGAAGGAAAAAAGAAAAATTTTGCGTTTTATTTATAGCAGTATATTCAGAAACGATAAACATTGTGCCGGTCTTCGAGCGAATATACTGATAGTGCACATTTCTAGGTAAATATAAACATTGTGCCGGTTTTCGAGCGGATATACTAATAGTTCACATTTATAGGTAAATATAAACATTGTGCTGGTCCATCAGCCTAGAGAACGGCAAAATGGAAACACGTAGCAAGACTGCCAAAGCAAAAAGCGAGGGTCATAAAAAGGATGTCACCATCAGTGAAGTTAGGAAAGTTGACAATGCTGAACGCGATGCCACAGAAGACAAGTTATCTGTAGTCTCGTCCAGTAGAAGCAGTAGAAATGATGGTGCACAGTCTAAATTGGTTTCAGTATCTTCATCTGTGAGATCCAAGGCAAGTATTTATATGAGAAAACTCATGGAAGTCCAGGTAAAAGCTGACGAAAAAATGGCTATATTGTTGTTTAAGCAGTTCGAAATGGAAAAGCAAATGATTGAAAATAGGTTGGCATTAGAAAAAGCTAGACTAAGTGAGAAATTTGATTTGGGAGTAAGTAATACATACCGTTCGGAAGGTGACATTTCGTTCAGAAATTCACATCATTCAAAAGATGACGAGATTTCTTCTGTTGATTCTGAAGTGAAAGTGCGTAATTGGTTGCAAAATACGGACGTCAAGAATATGACAGGTAAGAGGTCGTTCCACAAATGTCAAATTGACAATGCTCATAATAGTACAAGGGCTTCGTTCGAAAATAATACAGGGGCATGACATACACATTATAGAAAAAATGAAGAAGATTCAGGTGCAGAAATTAGGCAGTTGTTGGCGAGACAATCAATTGACAAAGATTTACCAATTTTTTCTGGAGAAACTATTGAATGGCCAAGTGTTTATCAACAATTTCTTTCAACAACTTACTTATTGGGATTAACAGATGAAGAAAATATGTGTACGTTGAGGAAAGCTTTGAAAGGGGATGCTAGACGATCAGTGGAGGGATTGTTGTTATCTATTTCATCAATCAAACCGATTATCGACATTTTGATTAGTAGATACGGTCGAGCAGATTTGATTGTGAAAAGTCTGGTCAATAAGGCCAAGAACTTTCCTATAATGAAAAATAATGATTTCAGGTTTCTAACACATTTTGCAGAACATGCAGAACTATTTGGATTGCCCTCAAATTCTGGAGGAAATTCTACAAAAGTTACCCTACAACATGCAGCTTTCATGGGGTGAAAAAGTACTTGAGAAGAATGGTAAGAGCACTTTACAAGAATTTAAAAAGTGGCTGTGGAGAACGTTGGAAGCAGCAAGCTACGCTCAATCTATGAATGTGGGTAAGCCTTCTACAAATCAGGCATCTGATAAGTTCTCTCAAAATCAGCCTCATAAAGAGAGATTCAAAACAACTCTTGTTACTTCTCAAGAGAAGAGTACTTCAGTTCGCAAATGTATCATGTGTGAAGAGAAACATATAATAGATAAATGCAAAACTTTTTTGGATCTCTCGATAGACAAAAAATGGGATTTCGTAAAAAGTAATGGTATATGTTTTTCTTGTTTGGGAACATCTCACAGAATAAAATTTTGTCGTAACAAAAAGAAATGTGGGGTAAACAACTGTGAAAAAATACATCATAAAAGTCTTCATAATGACGCATTTGATAAAAATAAGGAGAAAAATGATACTGTTAGTCTAGAAATAGTTGCTCATACCACAAAATCATTCAGTACAGAAATTTTATTGAAAATCGCTCCGGTTATAATAAGATCTTCTCAGAATGAACTTGAAATTTATGCATTATTTGACGAAGCTTCAACGGAAACTCTTCTTGATCAAGATTCGGCAGACAAGATGAACCTCGTTGGCGAAGAAACAGAATAAGGTTTGAAGTGGACCCACGAAGACACTTGCAAGAGATTATTTTCAAAAAAAGTAAGTTTTGAAATAGCTGACAAAAATAGGACCACATTTTATCAGATGGAAAATGCATATACAGTGAAAGACATGGATCTTCCTAGGCAAACGGTTGATGGAAAAAGACTAAAAGAAAAATGGAGCCATCTGGAATATATAGATTTTGCTAAAATGGCTCAAGCAAAACCACAATTGTTGATAGGACAAGATAACTGGGATCTAATCACTAGTCGAGAAGTAATTGAAGGTCCTAAGAACTCGCCAGCGTTATCAAAAACTAAATTGGGATGGATAGCACATGGAAATTTGAGAGAATTCAGAGGTAGACAAGATAGCAATACTGTTCTTCATATTTTCCATAATCAGATGAACTGTGATGAAAAATTACATGAAGAAATCAAGAATTATTTTTCCACGGAGTCATTTGGCGTCAAAATTTCTGAAGATAGATCAATGAATTCGGAAGACAAAAAAGCAGTTCAAATAATAGAATCAGTTTCAAGAAGAATAGGGAATGGAGACCGTTGGGAAACTGGTTTGTTATGGAGAGATGATAGTTCAACTTTACCAGAAAGTAAGTATAGAGCTCTTCAAAGACTTCAGTACCTTGAAAGAAGAATGAGTAGAGATTTGGAATTTGCTATGACCTACAAACAGAAAATAGAAGAATATTTAGAGAAAGATTATGCAGAGAAAGTGATAGAAGGAAATGAAGAATCAAGTAAAGTATGGTATTTGCCACATTTTGGAGTCGTGAATAAAAATAAACCCGGCAAATTGAGGTTCGTCTCTGATGCGGCTGCCAAGGTGGAAGGGAAATGTTTGAATTATTTTTTATTGAGAGGACCTGATTTATTGAATTCTCTTGTTGGAGTTATTTTCAAATACAGAGAGAAAGATGTAGTTTTCTCAGCAGATATTCGAGATATGTTCTACATAATAGTTATCAGAAAAGAAGATCGTGCTGGACAACGATTTCTCTGGAGAAATGATTCCAATGAAGAACCTAGCACCTATGAAATGAAAGTGCTGATTTTTGGTTCTGTGGGCTCGCCTTTTTCGGCACAATATATTAAAAATCGAAATACATTAGAGTTCCAGAACAAGTATCCTCAAGCTGTAGATGGAATAATAAATAGGCATAATATGGATGATTATCTTGACAGTGTGTCCACAGAGGAAGGAGCTATTCGCCATATAAAGGAAGTCATTTTCATCCACAGACAAGGAGGATTTGAACTGAGAGGTTGGGTATGCAATTCGAAAGAAGTTTATAGACATATTCCAGAAGAACTTAGGGGTGATGAAAAACTTCTGCAAGAAAGAAACAATTTGTCGCAGAGAATTCTCAGTTTGAAATGGATTCCATCATCCGACCATTTGGCGTTTTCTTTGAATTTTTCAAAAATGAAAGAAATGATTTCGAAAGGAAAAAATCCAACAAAGAGGCAGATCCTCAAAATAGTGATGTCTCTTTATGATCCTCTAGGACTCCTTGCACACTATGTCATTAGAGCAAAAATTCTTTTACAGGATATATGGAGAAGTGGCAACCATCCCAGAATATTAAATGGGAGAAATAGATTGATGTATTTGCAAAAATTGAAGATCTCAAGATACCTAGGTGTTATGCATTGAACTTCATTTATGATTTTAATTTACAGCTTCACATCTTCTGTGACGGGAGTGAGCAAGCGTTTTCGGCAGTAGGTTATTTCAGATTTGAGAAGAACGAAAACATTCATCTCTCTTTGGTGATGGCAAGCACGCAAGTAGCACCTAAAGCCAATAACAATTCCACGTTTGGAACTTCAAGCCGCTGTAATGAGTTCCAGATTGGCAATAACAATAAGGAAAGAACAATAAGGAAAGAACAATAAGGAATCAAACACACTTTTGGACAGATTCGAAAACGGTTTTGTGTTGGTTGAGATCAGAACCAAGAATGTTCAAAACTTTTATTACGCATCGAGTGGGCGAGATTCAGGAGAACACGAAAATTCCTGACTGGCATTGTATTCCTTACAATCTGAACATAGCAGATGAAGCTAATCGAGATATAAAAGTCAGTAGTTTCAAGGTCCGGAATTTTTATACAATAAACAAGAATTTTAGCCAATGGAACAAAAAAGAATAGACAAGGACTCAGAAATTCAAGAGAATCCAGATACCTTCGAACTTAAACATGAATTCATATTATTGACAGTTTCACATAGAATTGAATATTTGCCAGACATCACAAGATTGTCTGACTACATGAAATTGATAAGAAGAACAACCTATGTTTTCAGATTTCAACATAATATCAAACACTTGGCAAAAATCTCAAAAAACAAGAATTGACAACTGAAGAATTGAAGAGAACAGAAATAATTTGGAATAGGAAAGTGCAAGAGGATTGTTTTTCAGAAGAATACCATCTTCTGGTCCAAAATAATCCATTCCAGTATAGGTGAATGCTCTAGGTGGATTCTGCAGTGCATGCTCTGGAAGTTGTCCCATGCAGGAACCTGCGGTTTTGTTCTTCTTATGCTACAGAAATTGCAAAACCTTATTGTTTTAGTTACCAGTTTTCGGGCCTGCAGTATCCAAAATCTTTGCCTTATTTCATTTAGAGTTTGTTGTAGACTTTACCTGTTTACTTTGTACTAAATGTTCAAGAGGTAGCAAAAATGGAACTTTTAACAGGTTATGATCGACTGTATTGCCAAACATGCGCCAAACTAACTGACTGTTATAAGAAAACAAGTATATTTGAAGCACCAGTCAATCTAATAATACCACTGATGATATTCATACATGACTCAACCTCTGACGGAAGCGCCAAACTCTCACGAAGGTTCGAAATTGATGAACAATCAATTTAGCAGACCGCTATTATAATCTTCATGTAGTCATTATTCACTGTGGTTCTTGCGTTGAATCTGGGCATTATTACGCCTTGGCCGAAGACTAAATGTACTGGTTTAACGATAGTCATGTCACTAAGTGTTCTGGCGATGTATTGAATTTATTGGAGCCTCTGGAGACATTATAAAACCATTTATATAAAATATCAACATTATTGAGACGGCAGCTGAACGGATTTCCTTTGGAATGATGCATACAAAAAGGTATGTTTTTCTCGAATTTCGGAACAGTCCAGTATGAATCCTCAAAGTCTTCCAAATTCACAACTGTCACGCCTAGTCAATGAATCCACTGCTGTGTATTCATTGACTAGGCGTAGCCAGTCATACAGAAACACTTTCTTCTGATGTTCACGCACATAAATGGTGTTGACATCATATAGATTTTCCTTGAGAATGCTGTATTCCACGAAGCCCGAAGAATATTTTAAACCACGAATGTTTTTTTCCACTTAGACAACGCTTTTTTTATCGTCTCTGCTGAAGAAATAATGATTTCGGCGGCATGAACAGAAAATCATTACATTGATTACCGATCTTGATGGCAATCTCTTTGAGATGGAATTGTTGCTCAACAACATGTTTAAAAATATGTTTAAAATATGTTTTTCCGTTAACCAGCTATCGCACCCCTACGAACGATAACCCTCAGAAGTCGAAACTTGGGCGAGCTAAGGATTAACGTGTGATTCCTAACACGGATTGAATGTATTCAACAAGAACCCCAAGAATTCGGAACAATCCTCCTGTTGTCCTAACGAGTATCTAGTGGACTTCAAAGACTCCAGGAAATCGGTTGGAGAAAAAGATGATACATTCTTACGAAACCTCGTTCTTGAAATTCTTTGGCATGAACAACACTTGTAAAATGCTATTCATGTAGCAAGTGTTTCCTAAATTATCTAATTCAATTTTATTCCCAAGATTTTCGGGACAACTCTCTACTGATTCGTAAGGATGAACATGTTTCACAGAATCTGCATAAGAACCATTTCTCAAGCTGCAATCGATCATTCCAAATGATGAAGGGTTTTGTAGAGGGATCTATTGCTTCATGAAGCTCTTCTTCTGAAAGGGAACCAGTACCAAAAGGACTGCAACTCATATTTGGGGGGCAAGAATGACCTAAGTCCATTGACCGCCCTGAAAAAGAAGAAAGTGGATCAATCACTTGCGAATTAACCTTGATAGGAGACTAATGAATATCCACATATCTCGGCTTGTTTCAGAGATTTTAGTTCCGTATTGAAATAAGGGCAATGCATGATCTCATCAAAATTATGTGAAGGAGGAATAGTTTCAGGACCGAAGCAGCATTACCACGTTGAATAGCAATACTAACTCCGGGCCATAAACACCAAAAGTTTCAACCGCTACTGGATGGAACAGATAGTTGTTACCAAGATTTTGTTTTTTTTTCGTTTCAATTTCTCGCCAGATAATGCTGCAGTTCCAGCAGACTTTGAACTTGAATTCAACTTCTTCGAACAATTTAATAATGTAAGAAATTATCAAAATCGTACGCTCGACTTAGTTTTTTCTGCGGATAATAATTCAGGTATTTTTGAAGTAACTACATAGAGGTTTACTGTTCGTTAAGGAAGACGCTGACCACCCTGCGATGCTTGTCAAAATATCAATTCCAAAAAGCGTGCAATATTTTGTTAATACCGACAAAGTAGAAAATTATAACTATAAAAAAAGCTAACTTTGATGGATTCATCAAAATTATAAGTGATATTGATTGGGGTAGAGTATTAGCGGAAAGCGGTGTAAAGATAGCTTTAGATATGTTCTACAGTATTTGGGATGACATTTTAGCAAACTGCGTTCCGAAGTATTTAGCAAAAAAAAATGAAAGAGATCCAGTTTGGTTTTTCTAAAGAAATCAAGGATTTGCTGCGTTAAAAAAAATATAGAAAACTCATATCTATTTCAGATTATTATAACAATAGGTTCGAAGACTTGAGAAAAACATTGAAATTTCTGATTAGACATGAAGAGAAGTTGTCCTACAAAAATATTAAGCAAGGCATAAATGTTAATGAATTTTTAAAT